CAACAACAACAACAACAACAACAACAACAACAACAACAACAACAACAACAACAACAACAACAACAACATAACAGCAGCAGCAACAATAACATATCTCATTCTCAAAAGCAACATTAAAACCCTTACAACATGCTACCCCCACTCCGACAAACTGCCCCTTGTGTGGAGCCTGTCTGCCATGCCGCATTCCAAGAACTGGACTAGAAGGTATATGGTATGGTTTCAGGATGTTTCAGGTCAGCTTGGCAACCCAACCTGTGCTTCTTGACATGTTTTTTCAGGTGAGTTCTGCCTCGGGAGCTCCGAACTTCGCCCAGAAAGGGCACTGCCCCTTCAACAACCATGGAAGTGGATGGCCTGGCACCGATTTCTCAAGACTCTTTTCCTCTACCCAGCCGAGAGGGTGGTCCACTTTCATCATTGAAGGATGTTGGAGGTAGGGTTCTTCCAACTGAAACAATTCCAACCCACAAAACCGTCTCTCTCCCCATGTTTCGGCTCGTGCGCACTGGATCTCTGCCCGTGCGGCTCGGTTTCGGTCGAAGGCCATGGCCTGGAGACAACGACGGGAGAATTGGGGGCCACGAACCATTCGCAGTCTCAGTGCAAGAGTCCTGGTGCTTTTTAGGTGCTTTTTTCCAAGTCCAACTGGTATAAAAAACTTGAAGATCTTTGCAGAGGTTCAACAACTGAGAGAACCAAGAATCAGCGGCATAACCTCATGGTTTTGATCTGTTTTGAGCATATCACCCTATACATCCCTATACTGGGAATGATCATTTCGGGGTGGCCGTTCGTTGACCTGCCTGCCTGCCGTCCCTTTCAACCCTTGGGATTGAACGGAAGTGCTGTTCACGGCGCTTCGGTCCGGCTTTTGCGGGTGAAACAGCATCGCCGCGCAGCGGGTTTGCTGCTCCCGGAGTCTGGTCACCTCCCATGGTCACCAGTCCGCCGCTCAGGGCCATTTGGGCACCAGAATCATTGGACCGGATCACTTCTGGAGGGTTTTGACCCTGCATAGCAGGGGTTTGGGGCTCTCAAGATTTTCACCATTGAGGGTCCTTGATTCTTAGGGTAGGTGGAATCACACCATTCACATTGAAGCAACTGGAAGACGCAGTTGCAGAGATTGACCCTGTAATGGCTTGGTCAGCCAGGGTAGGGTACTATAGAGCAAGTACATGGCAAGACTGCAAACGAACCAAAACCGATGGTGAACTGCTTGGTCGTCCGGACCGTCGGATGAGACCTGTGGAGCTCCCCAAGTCAACGGACCGAGTGCTGGAAGGCAGCATGTTTGAAAGATCCTGAAGATCAAAACCCAAACACCCGAGGTTTAACTCTTGAGACTATACAGAAACAAGATGTTCGACCAATTTTTTGAGCTGGAAGCCCTCAAGCTATCATCCGGGACTCTCCTTCCGTATCCAAAATCTGAAACGAGACATTGTCAGTCACACTATGTCACACTAATCAACACAAATGTGTATGAGTTGCACAGCAGGATGATGACTGTTATATTGACGCGCAGGTATACCACAACCGCTGGATTTGGAATGCCACGTGATGTCAAGTACTCTACTTCTCCTCTGACCCGTCGCCTCTACATGCGGCTGGGCGGAAAATATCTCTTTGGATGTTGGCTTGCTTTGTGGCGAGATGCCTTTGAGCTAGCAGCTAGCATATCTCACAGTCACAGCCACACCCATGTTTGAGCACGTGCGTTTCAAAGCAATGGGGGTTCCCTTCGGTTCAATGATTGAGCTTGTGTCGATTGTGAGGTTATGTTAACACTCACACTGACACTATATTATATTACTCACAACGAACCGATTCCCAAACTGAGTCATCACCCGGCTCATCCGGCTCGGGCCATGTGCCCATCTGATGACATCCCACCGACCCAGTCGGCATCCACTTCCAGCCCCTTCGACAAACCCAAAAACATCACCGGCGGTGTTCATGGCCACCAGCTTTGGTTGAAGAAACGGGAATGTTTCTAATTTAGTCCCGTGGAAAGTAAGGTAATTATGGATTGGTCTCATTCCCGACAAACAAAGCACCCAAGGACTACGCAGTATTGCAAAGTCAACACTCTTCGCTCGAGCCAAAGGAGCCGCGTTTCAAGCTGAAGCGATTCGCAAAGCCTCTTCGCTCTCCGCAGCACTGGGCCCGAAAGCCAGCGCTCCACCCAGCCACTGCTGGTATTTCAATATATTTCATCGTTTGAACGAGCCCACAGGAAACGCATCGTTCTTCGATGTTCTTCTTGTGATCTGAGTGGAAGCTACTCTTAGCAACTTGGAAAAAATGGCCTCCTTGAGAATCCAGAAAAGGCCCGATGGTCCAAAAAGCTCAAGATGAGTCGAGATGGTCGAAATGGCCGTCTCCCGTCCCTCCACCGTTTTCAGCCATCGCCGCTATCCCCGGCTGTGAGCCGCAGCTGCTAAGCCTGCGTGCAGTCAAGGAATCAGGAGAGTTGCCCAGGGATTGGTTGAGACAAGATGAGACAAGCACCGCCAACATCAAGAGGTCTAATAGATGCGCTTGGGTCATCTTCTGGCATCAAAAACTGCAGTCTCACACGATGTGACTCCCAAATGGCCAAACCCTGGGAAGAGGGCGACTGTAACAGCTCACTGGACTTCCTAATGGTTGGAAGTACCACTTAAATGGCGCGTTCTCAAATGGCACGCTGCGGATGCGCTCGGGCGACAAAGACACTTTGCGAGAACATCCTTGGCACAGCACGGCGAGCACAGAATCTGCAGGAGTTTGAGCTGGGTAATCGGCTGCCGCTCAGACGCAACAAAGGCCCCTGTTTTTTGACTTCAACGCCATCAACCGAAACAAGGATTCCCATACAAGTTGATGATGCCTACATAAGCCTACTGTAAAATCAAGCTGGAATCCTGAAGCTATATACAACTTGAAGAACACATGTCAAGTCGAACACTTGTGACCATGCAGCTCACACAAGGCATCCAAGATATGTCTAAAGCTTGCCGATACTCTGTGCCAAATCTGCTCGATCTCTGTCCATCTACTAGCATCCACCAGCATATGTGCTGGATCCTCCAAAAAGTATACCTAAATGAATGCAGCAAAATGCTTCGTCTTAATTCACAAAATTTAGTTTAGTGATGTTCAGAACTTTGATGAGGGTAGCACAGCAAGATCGAATTTCTGGCCGAAGAACAGTTGAGAATGTCCTTGAAGCCAGCAGAACCACTGCTCAGTGTTGCACAGGCACACTGGGAGAAAAGGGTTCCTTCCCTCTCGCACAACCAAGCGTCACGCACCAAATGGGTGTTGGAAAAGTAGTGGACCCTAACACCAATTCGATATACCGTGGCCTTTCTTACTCACTCACTCTACTAGGGGCTCCTGGCATCGCTACTAGGAGCAAGGACGCTAATTACTAGGGGCTCCTGGCATCGCTACTAGGGGCAAGGACGCTACCAGGGGCTCCTGGCATGGCTACTAGGGGCAAGGATGCTACTAGTGGCTCATTGATTTGAGTTCCTTGGGCTGCCATCTTTTCCACACCCAGGCTGCCAGGCCGAGGCATGGCGCTCGTTTAAAAAATCCGCTGGGAGGAGAATTGAACACATCGAGAAGCGCTGCATTTTTGGGTTAACTCTGGTGTGTTGGAGAAACGGACGCCTTCAAGCCAATCAATCTCAGTTTTAAGTGCAGTTCCTTCCTACCAAAGAATATCAATACTGACCAGGAGGGTGGAACCTCTGGACCCTAATCATATCAGGCTGTTCGCCGTCATGATGGACTCTTTGCAAATGAGCTAATCACCTTCGTAAATCCGTCTTGTAGGTTCAAAAAACCAATCCGTTGTACTCTTGCCCTATCCTTGCTGCCTGTATTTCTGGCCACACCAAGGTCTGCCATTGGCGGACCATCTGGTTCGCATGAAGCGCTTCAGATCTGGTTCGTGTCCCCAGCAGTTTAGCACTCAGTGGCCCCACCTGTGAGCACCAAATAGGAGTGTGCATTAGAATAGGGAGACCCGCACCAAACCTCTGGGAATACTAAACACTACTAGTTAAATCCATTGGTTGGGAGGTTCCCCCCCCAAAAAATATCCTAAACCGATAGATGTTTTCTTGCTCGTTCGCATGGTTCATGTGACTGAACTCTGCGGCGTCGGGTCGCAGCGAACGACGTTGGAGCGAACGTCGGGTCGCTTAACGGTTCGAAGCGAAGAGGGTGAAGCGAAGCCCAACAACCGGAACTTCATGCAGCTGAATGAGCTGCGAGATGGTGTGCCGAAAAAAACACAACCTTGGGATAGAATGGGGTGCAATACACTCTTGCCTAGTTGGTGGTTCCAACTCACTTGAGAAATACCATCAAACTATCTGAAACCACCACCCAGGGAGTTTTTGTTCCCACGTCGCGCCTGGGCCCCCCAAATCCCCACCAATCCCTTGAACAGGCGCTGGCTGCAGAGGCTGGCTCTGCTAGCTCTGGCAGCTTTCGGGCCCAACAAATCCCCAACACGTCTCGAGCTGGAAAGCTGAAAAGTCCTGCATGTTCACCGCATGTTCTCCACACACCCTGAGTTCATCCTCGTTGCGTGGAGTGAGTGAGTGAAAACCCCCTCAGGGTGGTGAACTCGAACAAGAAATGCTCCTCCAGGCCATGCCAATGCCATGACCCAGACCATCCATGGGACTGGAATACATTAATATGCCTTGGGTCTATCCTATTACCTGGGCCCAGTGGATGATGGTTCAACCATAATAATTAATTGTTTACTGACTGTGACAGGTAATAGGACGGACCCTAAATATGCATACATTGACCCCGCCACACCACCGCTACAAAGGCCAGTCCGATTGCCTGGGTGGATGGTTTCAGGGAGTAGCAACGGCCACGAGTTCCGCTGCAGGTTCTCAGTTCCACAAGAGTTGGTGATTGGCCTCAATTACGTGGATCATGGATGATCATGGACACCGAGGTGGGACTGCTGCGATGGGTTCTTTCGTTTGGGAGGGCGAGCTTTGGAGTCCCTTTCACCAACCGAGCAGGGCCAAGCAGTGACCGAACCAACTTCGAAGAGAAAAAACCAAGAATCGGTCACGAAGCGAAGAACGAACCAAATGGACACCATCAATGTGTTTCGTTCACCAGCACCCAGGAAGGGCCAAAAGGTAGCTGTTAGGGCCAAAGGGTAGCTGGTTTCATAGGAGTCGATCAGCCACCCACAGGCGTCTGGTTCAGCCGCTGAAGGTGACGTGCCCCGACCGGCGATTGAAACTCGAGCATCCCCGACCCACTTCCGCCGCGAGGAACTCGGCGACCACCTCAAAAGCCTCAGTGAACCGCGAAAGTTCCAAGTGATGGCCGGGGCCCCGATGCCAGGAGCTACTAATAGCGTCCTTGCTCCTAGTTGCGATGCCCTTGTAGCTTCTTGTTCCGGTGGCCAACCTACTTGCGATGGCCTCCACCGAGCATAGCTCCACTGGATACTAGTTCCACTGGATTCGATGTGGTTTAGGGAATGATGTCCAAGTTCTCACCAATGTAGCACTACTTTTGGAATTCTTATTGGCACCTTGAGCCCCCCTATGCCACATGGAATCCGTGCGACAATGTGTTCAACATATGTTGAACATCCAGTCACCGCAAAAAGAGAAAAAGAAAAAACCACTGAGATGATCAGAGTTAGGAAATCATGATTCATGATTTGATTTACAATAATTATCGCTTTCTACTGGGCCCAAGCAAAACAAACTACCCGCAAACCACTCCCGCCTTGGCTATGCCTGTGGCATCCTTGTCTCCGAGGTGCACGCCCTTTCCTGGCGGCGTGCATTAGCGGCAGATGCTTCTACGCCCGGAAGAATTGGAAGATGCTACAGCATCGAGTTTCATCAACAACATGTCCTACAGCCAATTCAGTTCTCGCTTTCTGCTTGCGCGAATCCCAGTATTTCTGTCCAGAAACTCGCACACTCAAGAATGAAATTCATCCCATAATATCCCCCCAAAAGCACCGTCCAAATAAAAACCTAGGCCTCCTTGTGCTGAAACTTGTCTGACCCACGACTGGATGACCTCAGCCGGTCACCGTCCAGGCTTTTCCGCAAAATCACCAGAGCCATACGTGCCGTAGGTGGAAATGACACTCGGACGAACACATCACACGGGCCGTGCTCCCGATGGAAGACGATATTTCCTGTATGAACAGGGGGGTGCCATCCACGTAACCATGTGAATATGGGCCCATACATCAGCAGCTGGATTAATGGATTCACCATGTTTCACCCTTTGCTCAAGCATCTGTCATCTGTCCGATTCCAACTTGATGACTTGCCTCTGTTAATATAGATTATGGCATTTCGCCAGCAACATTCCAATCCTTTTTAACACATTCGTCCTTTCGGAAGGCGCTCATCATTCTGCACATCAAATCCAAACCCCCTCACAAATCTAAGGTTCCTGAAATGAATACAACTTGAAGCCTCTGCAAGCTTGACATCTAAAATTCGCAGCAGGCGATCAGCACGTGAATGTCGGCAACCATTTTTCTCGCAACATGCTTCAAAGCAACAATCAGTTCCTGTACCACTTGCGTCTCATATTGGTTCAGCGAGAGTATGCACCATGAACTTGCAATCTTAAAAAACAAGACACTCTTGCAATTGCAACAAAATATTGAATTGCAATGGTGCGCACTTAACCAGGTGAACCTGATTGTCAACTGATGACCCTGTGCAGCACTGACAGTCGCGCTGTCCGCCACGCCATGTATGGACAAAAGTAAGGCCATGTCCGCCCCGTTCGTCGCTTCTTCCGTTCGTAGCGATGCCAAAGAGTGCCAAAAAGTCCCACCGTTTTGCCCCAGCCGGTCTGGTTGAGTTCGTGGATGAGGGGTGAAACATGACTCGTCCGCTTAACCTTCCAACGCCTTCTCAACAGAATGATCTGCCCCGGCCCCAGGCAACAGTGAATGTGTCTTTGCCAATGGTACACTCTGGCCCACTGTTGCTGGGAATGTGCTCTAGTTCTCTAAGGAATATCTACATACTTTGGGTGGTTTCAGGGGCGTACATACTTAGGTATATATGCCAGTGCCATGGAGTGTTTGGGCATCATCTCTGAGAGATTGGTCCATCATATCTGAGGCTTCCAGACCTGCACGTTCTCTGTCTTGAGCGTGCCAACGGTGATCATGACCTTGGACCCAAAAGCGCGACGCTTTTGTGTCATGTTTCCAGGAATCTCGGGGGGGCTCAACTTCCCTCAATCCAGTCGCACTATTCTTCCCACAGCCACTTCAACTTCGCAACAGCAGCACTTGTTCAGCTCGGGAATGAACCTCAACAACCACTCCCGCCAACCCGTGGCGATGGCGCCGTGGCGGTGGACGGTCGCTTTCTTTTGGACACCGCATGAATCGATCCTTTTCGAAAAGGTCCAATGGTCCAGTGGCGTGCAGATCTGTTCTGAATTTGGGGGATTAGGCCAGGATGGCACATCCGCAGGCGGATGAATTGGAGCATTTGCGTAGCCTCATGCCGTGCTGCTCAGAAAACGCCCTCATGCCGAACTTCCCAAAGGCCCAAGCCGTCTGGGAATCAGCATGCCGGCCCACGCCGGAGGAGGCAATGGGGCAAAATCTCTGCTGTCAGGCTGTACAAGCAAAAACACATGAGACCTGGGTACCAGGGCCTGTCTCAAGACATGGGAAATCTGCTGGATCCCACCTTTGTTGGTCGTCTCATCCTACCCCTTCAATTGAAGTTTTGGATCTGAACTTCTGAACCAACATGATAGGTTGCTGAGTGCAATGGCCTATGTTTCTGCAGGGTTTCGGCGTTCGTTCCCTTCAGTCTCGACACGCCCCAACCCCGTCACTTCACGCGCTCGACACGCCCACCATGCGTGCGCGTGCGGCCGATGCTTTGTCCTTCAGGAACTCCGCAGAGGCGGTGGCCTTGCCCTTGACCACATCGACGCCCGAGGAAATCCGTGAAATCGTCTTGCCTTTCATCTGCTCGGAGTTGTGGAACACGTGTGGGCAAACAGTAGGTTTACAGGGGTGACACACCTGCAATAAGGTGCTCGTCTAAGATCGTTCTTGCCACTTGTTACACTGAACAACATGGCGCAATCCTTGCAATACAGGTTGTTCTTTTCCACTAAAAGCTCATGTCACTTGAATCTATATCTACCCTCCCTCCAACAAACATGGACGCGGAACATTGCCTTTGGGAAAACAAGGAGGACCTCTACACCTACACCATCTACACCTACCTACGCACGGCTCACGACCGTGCCTGCCTTACGCGCGTGCAAGGCGGTTTCTTGGGCGGATGATTTCCGGGCACATAAGGTGGACATGCCACTCCATATCGATGAAATGAATGAACGAGAAGATGCACATAAGGATTTTGATATAGTTTTGGAACCCAATGAACAAGAGTGAGACCAATTTTTTATCGGCAAAAGCATCCAACTAACAGCAAAGCAATCTAATTCGATGGCAATTCGCAAATATCAAGTAAAGGAATCAAGAGATTTATGAGCGAGCCATCTTTTCCGGATCTTATTTTGACATGCTCGGATTCGAGTGAAAGGCCGCTCTTATAGAGAAGCGTGGGGTCGTGTAGGACAACGAAAATGCACACAGAGGGAAGTATAGGTCGTCGAGACAGACCGCCCACGCAGACCGCGTATGAACACCGAGATGCAAAACAAAACTCATGGCATTACAGATGGTGTATAAGTGGGAATAAGAGGCTGTCTTGAAAAGTGAGAAAGGAATTGGACAACTTGTCGGAACGCATATGCCTGTCTCAAGATCGATCTGTGGTGAGGCGAAAAATATGAGACTTTGGTGAGTCATATATGGCACTTGCAATTGTGGGGTGAAGGCTATTTTGTGGATTCGAATGAAAAGGCGGTAAACAAGTCAACACAAACAAAATCACAGAGGGACCTTGTGAAGAATTTAATGCTGCTGCTATTTGTGTATTACTGTCATCTTTGTTCTTGATGGCAATGAATGTATTGATGTCCTGCAGGAAGTTGTAGACATGCTTATATCGAGAAAAGGAGTCAGCCACTTCTTCCGAGATTTCATCGTACATCTTGCGGATGAGAACAACACATTTTGCCCGGAATGTGGGACAAGTCAGCAGTGTAATTACCAACCATATGTCGGAGTTCTTCAAGTGTAGTTGCCTGACCAAAATCTTGGTGTGATCGAATTTTATGAAGGGATACGGATACACGTATTTGATGTCGGTAAGACAAGACTTGCTGAGAAGGTCTGGATGTGCCATGCGAAAAAGTTTGAGATGTTCGGGTGCACGAAAGTACAGCACATCTCCCAGCTTGTGCTCATGACATAGGCCGAATCTGAGTACATTTCATAGTCTTGCCCAGGGTAAAACTGAGCCATATGGATGATCAAGTTCACTACTGCTTCAAGTTCAGCACGGTTGATGGATTGTTCTTTGTGAGCATGACCTAAATGGACTATGCAATAATCTGCAAAAAGAAAGATCCCTACTGGCAAAGCTTCTACATTGCGTTATGGCCGACGCAGCCCCTCTCAAATACGGAACATGAGGCGTATTGCAGGATCCATCTGAATGAAACTCGTAGCGAGCAGCTGGAGGCTGGAGTAATCTTATTAGGTGGATCAAATGTCTGAGTTCCACGTTTTGGAAGGAAATGCCACAACCGAAGAATGTCTGAAGGCATTTGTGGTATAGCAAGATAAAGATTTCAACGGCTGCTTCTGTAGGAAATCAACAGCTTGCGGATGCCGGTCTCTTATTTCCTTTGTAGGAGGACACTCCAACTGTTCATGCTTATTTGTATCCAAACTGCAATGTGGACATATATATGGGCTGCGCGGGATTGAACACCTCCAACAATATCTAACAGAATAGGCTTTGTACTCGGCCATTTAAGTGTTGTCTTGATTGCACAAGGAGTTCCCTATCAAAAGGAAGGTTGCCGAGGCCTTTGCATGTTGGCATCAATGTGGGTATAATAAGACCAAAATCGAAGCAAAGTTTTCCTTCTGAGTCCGCAACGATCCTGGAGAAGATTCAACGATCAACCATATGTCCTATGGTCCTACCGCAGTATGTCGCTGCAGCGGTTTTCTTTTCAGTTTGCCTGCGGACAATGTGCAGTTTAGGCACCTACTGGCCCATGTGGTTTACCTTGATAACTTGTACTTCTTGAAAAAAAGGTATTGCACGTTGATCATGTGGATGGTAGTGAGCCAATTGTCTTGTACGACGCAGCAAGCTTGAATGATTCTTTTAAACCATTTTCCTCTACACATGGGGTGATTGTTGGAGGGAGGGTAAGCTGTGTGACCAGAAACGTTACCGCTCCAAATAATAAAACAGGAGATTGCTCACTCCAAGCGACCCTGAAATGTGATTTACAGTAGAAGGGAGGGCATGGACTGACAAACTATTATGACACATGACCTGGGATACTGCGGCATACTGCCAAACGTTTGAACTCATTTGAGCTGGCACATCGTCTTACGACATGTGCACTGGCATTTAAGATGGTACATGAACTGGCATACTTGCTGACATAGCATCTAATCTGGCAAATCCTCTGACAAACTATCTGGCAAAGGAATTATCTGAGACAGATTCATGTGCCATAGCATCTGCTATCTGGGACGTAGGGTGACATAATAAATTATCTGGTAAATCTTCTGGCATGTTGCCATGTATCCTGGCTTTTGATCTTAAGAATGTTATCTGCATATGTGCTGACAGGTTAGCCACCTGGTACTCCGGCCGACGCATTCTCTAGCATATCCATGCGCATACTGTTTCGGTATGTGTCGAGATCACTTGCAATTATAACTAAAATTAATATATATATATAATTATATATATATATAGGCAAACCTCGGATCTAGTTATATAATTACTCCAAAACTATCCAGAACTGATAAGAAGGAGATAGAAGCCGTGTCCTGGAAGGGGGGGACACCACAAAACATCAAGACGAGTGCCCTGGAAAAACAGAGAAAAACAGAAACTCCGTCCAGTTGCTGCGCAACTCCTGGATCTCCCCGCGCTTGGCATAGGCACCATACCCCGCGGCTCCGCCGCTGACAGCACCGGCGGTGGCGCCCACGGCGGTTCCCATGAAGAGCCCAGCACCACCGCCCAAGGCGGCACCCAGTGGGATGGAAAGCCCGAAGGTGAAGAGGGCCTCGATGTCACGTGGGATACAAAGCGTCTTGACTATAGCTGATTAAATTGAACAATTCTTCACCTTCAAAAGGCGCCGCATCACTAGGTTCTTCTCCTAGGCCGTGATTTTCACGGCGAGCGAGATATCAAGTGAGCGGTGTCAAAAACCATCCGGAACTTTTATTAAGATTATAAAAACCTTTCGCCAATCCCTTCGCAATGCTTTCGCGGCTGCATGTTTTGCTTTCGCTGACCCACTTCACCCAACAACCTCTTTCGCTAACCCTTTCGCCGAGTTTCTTCTACTTAGATCTAAGAAAAATATCAGAAACGGGAATCATTCCTAATCTGCAACCACTGCTTTCGCCACATCTTCGCGAACCTTTCGCCAACCTTTCGCCTGGTTATCAGGAATCTTTGGATGACATGCTTTGTACTGAAAACCTCTCTCGCCAACCCTTTCGCAATAAAATCCTTTCATCAAAAATTCCCAGCCTTTCTCCAAACCTTTCGCCAAACTTTCCCCAACTGCAGTTTTCCTTTCGCAAAGATTCATAATCTTAAGTCCTACCTAAATTCTGTCATAGAGGTTTATGACGTTGCTCAAGTGAAAACTGACGACTCTTCCCTCCAACTGCCCATGGTACCTTCAGAGCAAGTCCATCTGCTACTAGTAGCATGTACTGCCCATGGTTTCGTGGAACTCACCGAGTGAAAGCCCCGGCAGCCTCTACAACATCGCTCGGCCCAAGGTCGCCGTGAAAACAACGAAACGGCAAGCAGGCCGATGAGATCAAATATACAGCCCTGAAGATGAAAAAGGATGCCAAACAGTGGTGGTTCAGTGGTTTTGTGAGAATGTCTGACAGTCTTTTCACGCTCTGTTGAGCTTTTCATGGCTCTGATGATCTCATGGGTGTCTTGTACCCTGCAAAGGCCACCATAATTCACAAAACTATAGTAGGATGCCCACCAAATGGATACCTTCTTGAAACAAAGATGGAGCCGCACACAGTGAGGTCCTTTAAGTCATATAGACTTCATTTGATGATTCCCTTTCTGTATCCCGGCATCCCCTCGCTCTGGCCCAACCGATAGGAACCACAGCAGCATTTCGGCCGCATCCACTCCCCGGAACTAACAATGGAAGTGGAGAATGTGGATGGCATGGCCCCGAAAGCATCCAAGAGGCTGGGACCACACCAAGGGCAGCACCCACGGCAGTACCCGCACACAAGCCAGTGGCTGCCCCAGTGGTTCCCAGTGTGGTCATGCCACCAGCCACGCCCAGTGCTGTAGCACGCACATGGTCATCCCGGGCGAACGCAGCTGCCTTGTCCTTGGCCTGGCCGGAGAAGCAATTTGCGGCAATTCCTTTCTCCAGTCCCATTGAAAGTAGGACCCATTTGACAACTTAAGACTAAGCCCTGTGGCCTTGCGTTGAGTTGGAAGACACTAGAGTATATCTACTCTGGTCATGTTTGGTGTCCTACTGTGGGAAGCATAGTCTTTGAGACGATCAACCGCTGATCAGCCCTTCAACTTGATAGCGATCAGGAAGACTCCACCAGGGGTCACAGAGCTCGGGAGGTGTGGCTCGTCCCATCCAGGGGCCGTGGATGCTCTCGGCACCCCGATCCTTCCTCCGAACGAACTCGGCACCCCGTCGAACGTGACTGACTCCCTACTGGTTTCGCTGGACCAAGGGTTCGCCTATTTCCGGTTTCGCCCGGTTTCGGAGGGAAAACATCTTATCCAAAAAGATCAACCAAAAGGGTTTTGCAGGATATCCACTGACTGACTAGGTCGATGTTCTATCGATTTTCCATCGTTGCGTGGACCCCTGCCTCCACAGCCTTGGCCTTCGCGTGCTCCACCGTCTTCAATGCCTGCGAGCGCTTGGCTGCCATCTGCAGCTTTGTGGCATCCTTCGCCTGCTGAACACGGTCCAAGAGGGCCTTTCGAGTGGAGGCCAGGAAGGCCAAGCTGCGGGCTTTCGACGCTTGATAGCTCTTCATGGCTTTTTCCTGCCAATTGGAGATACCAGCGGCCATGTATCCGCGCACGAGCTGCAAATGGTCACCAACCCAGCTGCGAAGCCCCACCTGCCGCAGCTGGCTGTAGCTGCTGCGCGTGGCGGTCTTCACATCGCTTAGGCTCTGAGCAGCAGTGGCTTTCAATGACTTGGCGGAAGTCAAGAGCCTCTCCTTGATAGGCGAAGTGACAAGAAATGACCTTAAACCGCTTGGAACTTAAGCGGTGCCCTATCTACAAACCCAAGAAGTGCAAGCTTGGGAAAGTAGTCGTTCGGTGGCCGTGATCTTTCTGCACTTCTACAGGGCCAAGTGTACTCGAACTTCGGACTTCCAAAGCAAAACTTTTGCTGCCCAGTTGCAGCTGAACTTTGTATTCCCCACCCACCCACCCACCCACATACACCCACAAAAACCAACAAAACAACACACACACACACACACTCAAGAAAACACAAGAAAATACACACAAACATGCAACATGGACCATGCATCAATCAATGAGGCTTCTACAAGTCTAGTTGCAAGTGCATCGCTACTAGTTACTAGTAAGAAGTGCATCGCTACTAGTAACAAGGGCGTTACTACTAGAAACAAGAAGCTACTAGTGACATCTAGTCACATTTTTTAAATGTTTTGTTCTTCTCCTTCTTCTTCGTCTTCTTCTACTTCCTTCACGTTTCTGCACTTGTATTGCCCAGTGGCCCCCCGCAGCATGGCGGTCTCTGTGAGGCGGCTCTGCACCGAGGCGATCTTCACCTCGGAAACCAGTGTGTAGAAACAACGGTGTTCGGTGCTGTTTTTCTTTCTTTTTTGTTTGGGGGGGGAGTCTGTAGAGATTTGATTTGGAAGACTAACATGGACATGTCACACACATGTACTGATGATTCGATTAGACATGTATAGCTCTCTCTCTCTATATATATCTGCTGTATATATATATATATATGTGATACCCCCGTCTGAAATGTCTACCACTTTTGGTTTGCTAGCATCGGTTTGTTTTGGGAGGGTGGTGCCATACATGCATACATATATCCATATATACAAACACATACCAATTTACACATACATGCATGCATATATACACCGGTATGTCGTGGACCGGTGTCGTGAATCCTTGGATACTTGGACTTGCAACAAGAGGTTTTGAGTAGGTCTTAAGACCTCCAGGTTCTAAGATCCAAGATTCCCCCCCAAAGTTTTGGGAGAATCTTAGATCTTAGAACCTGATAAGTCTTAAGACTTTCCTAAGACCAACTCTTTCCCAAAACCGCTATTTCGCAGACAAACAGAACACAGAAGTAATCCCACCAAGTTCTTTTTATATAGATAGAAGTAATCTCAACATGGCAGCTATAGAGAAGACAATTTAATATGTGAACTAGATAGAGGACATCTCAAAAATTAAGCCGGTGAGAATTGAACTCAACATGTGAATTTGATAGAACTATTCTCAATGTGCCAGTCAGTGCGAAAATAACTTGATGTGTGAATTAGATAGGTAAAAATATATACCAGTTAGTTAGTGAGATTGCAACTCTCTTCTCCTCTTCTCCTCCCTTCTCTTCTCTTCTATTCTCTGAGAAGAGAATGGGAGGGAAAGGACATGAAAGAGAAGAGAAAAGGAAGAAATGCTACTGAGATGTCATGCACACCAGTGAGCCCGCCAATTGTCAAGTTACTGTGTGATTGCCAACTGAAACTCATAGTATCTCATAGTAATAAGTTGCACTCATCAACTCTCATTCTGAAACTTGCAGTTCATACAAGTCATAGTATGACTTGCGGTGATCACAAAAATATGTTACATTGTAATGTGCACAAGCAATTGTGTGAATTGTTGTGTTACTCTGTTCACAAATGTGTAAGATTCAATTCAACATGTCAGGATTACAAACCAAATGTAATAGTGTCAACTTATTAAGTCACAACCCACACAGTCAGTTGCATTCAAGAACTTTCACCTTTTACAGTTGCATTAAATACACAACTAACAGTGTGAGGTGCAGAAAACATGTAATACTGTAAGTTGTCATAAACACAAGTGAGCCTGTCAATTGTTAATGCTTATCTGTGATTGTCACAATTGTCATTTGAGTTTTTGTTTGCAAATATGAGAATTGATGAATGTAACTGACGATGTGAGTTGTAAGCCTTATGAATTCACACTATATATAACATTGGGTTTGCACAGCTAGAACATTGACCCACATGCTCTATAACTGTGAATATCACAGGGTAGCACATAAATTCACAGAACTATTTGTGCACATGACAACTGATAATATCATATGTGGCTGCAAACGGGAGGTTCCCCGACAGATTTCAACATTCAGTGGTGTAGAGTGTAGAAAGACTCCTGAACCCGGAGCCTGCTGGGGGGAGAATATGAAATCGCTGCGTTGTTGCAAACATTTTGTCAAGACGTATTTCGAAAACTCGTGTGACCTGCCCGACAAACGCAACAACAGAACTAAACACAAAGAAACTAACGGCTAAGGAAGAAAACGGCAACTACTTCATCGAGCCAAAAAGACCTGCACATGAACACGGGTGCTCATTGCCCCCCCCACCCACCGACCGCCCGCCGAACCCTGGAAATATGCAATCCAATGAAATCTGTGATGGGAAGCTAAAGGCTTCGGAGAACCAACTCATCTGATGGGTCATATGTTAAGATTGCAACTCATATTGTCAAGTTGTCAAGTGTTTACAATGCACAAGCGCATATCAGACTTGATGAAAACAATGATAATGTACATTGCTAGCCTTCTCATACCTTTAGTTGTATGTAATGCAAGTGTATGGATGAAAATTGATGATTGTAACTCTCACATTGAAGTTGAATTGCAGTGTAAGTTTATTGTTGTTTGTTAGCTCCACAATTGATTTTTGTAAAATGATACAACATTTGTTTGTGTGACTGTCACAAAGGTATATCTAAATTCCTAATTTGAGTTGTTTAAATGCAATGTCACAGTGACAAACAAACAAACAACTCATAGAATCAGTTGTATTCATCAATTATCATTGCACTGGGTACAGCTGACAGTATGAATTGGAGAGCTCATATAACATATTGTTCATTGTCATGTGCACAATAAACTCTGCAAACTGTTATGCTGTTTTTTGGTGAGGTTTTCACACTTGTACACGATGCGATTCACACTTTGAATTACTCAAACCCAATGTGACAAATTGAATTGATAATTTTTAAATTCACTTCATCAATTATATCCATCAATTCTTACACTTGCAATTGCATTAGATACAACTAACAATATAAATTGGAATGTGTATCTTTGTTCTCTAATTTCCAAAACCTTGGAAAACATCTGCCCATATCTGTGTGCATGGGCCAGCCGTTCTGCTTAGGTTCTTGCATTCAAATCACATGACTAACAACCATGCTAGCAAACCAAAAAGGTAGACATTTCTGGGGGGGTAGCACATATATATATATACACATATGTTTTGCTATTTCGCATGCGCTTTTTTTTACATTTTGTTGTCCTCTTTGTTCACCACATCGTCTTCTGGCGACAAGTTCTCAGTCGGTACTGCGGCATATATCATGCTTGCTTAGTAAAGCCCCATCACCCCATTCCCAAGAACGAGTGCGAGCTACCTGGTGAGTTTGTTTCACCAAGTCACGGTTGTCTGCTCTACAATCTTGACGGCGCGGGCCTTCGTTGCCATGATGAGTTCCATGCCCTCACTCTTCAAGCTGCTCGCGCGAGCCTTTGCGGATGAAAAGCTGGCCATTTCGCTGCGAAAAGGGCTAAGAAGATGCTGAAAGCGGTGGGTGCTGACGTGTTTTTCTGCTTGAGCCATCAAACGCCGGCAGGCGAAGGTGGACGAAGAGCTCGGCTTGACCCAAACATCGAAGAGCTCGATGTGACGTCCAGGTGGCTTTGAGTTTCAGTTGGAGTTGGAGTAGTCGGCAGGTGGCACGGCAAGTGGTTGACTTGTTACAGTCATTATCAATTCTCGGTTTAGGTGTGCTGCTTGGTCTTGCGTCGGTCGAGGACCTCATGCAAATGAAGTGAACTTCCGCTCTAGCAAGTTGCTATATTGGTCGCTTTTGACCGCAGTGTACTTGACGCTCAAATTGCGACAGCACTCTCTGACCTATAATCATATGACGTTGGATTGTTTGATTGTGTTTCATCGACGGATTTGTGGCAAGTTTGACAGTGCAGTGGACACCCTTCCGCGCGGAGGCGGTGGCCGTTTCCTCATGACGTCTCACCTTTCTGGATGGAGGAGGCCCTTGGGCCCTCTGACATGAAAGACCTGTCCACGGAATCCCTGCAAGTAAGATTAACAAAACAACAACAAAAGCAAATGACCAAAGAATTCTAGTAAAGGCCCCCTGTGCGTTGTTGAGTTGATTAAGAAGGTCCTGAGGTTCTCGACCATGTTCAGAGCGGCGAGGACATTGCCACTGGCCTGGACTGCGCACTTCACGTGCGCGTGCCCGTGGCACGGTGGGGGTTGGCTTGGACTGGAGGCCAAGCGCCATGTCTGGCTATAAGTAATGTAGACTCTTGAATAAAATCCCCCCCCACCATCCATGTGGATTGAAAAGCATCTTTATGTGGGGGTTTTATGAATCAAGTCTACAATATAGAAACCTGGCTTCGCTACTAACTCTATATTAGGCATGTCCAGTCACACCGACTGAATTCCCCAAGAACCCTAAAATGGTGTATATTCTTGTAACCATGGGACATGGTGCGACATGGTGCGACACCGTAGAGATGTGTCGCACCAAACATGGGTGTTCATTCTGGAAAGACTTCACAGCATGGAAAAGGCTATGGGAATGTCATTGCAGGACATGCGACCTAAGTGAGCTCAGCTGTGAAACATTGCAGTTTCCACCTGTAAGCCACTGGCAATGTTCCGTATATAGGTCAGCTTAGGTCAAATCCAATGAAGCAGTGTTTAAAATAAACAAGCACAAGACTTGTTGGAATACCAGCATATACAAAATGCGCATGTATGTGATTATGCACACACGATCTAAGATATATTATGTTGATGATCTCATGAGTATGTTAATCATGATTCATCGTGATTGTTGATCTCATTTGCGTTATGTTAGACATTGTTAGACATCATTGAAGTGATGGCACGCGCCCACTTCATGGCGTCTGACTCCTTGCCCAAAGAAACGTGGCCCACCTGGCCCTCTGGCGAGTCTCAAGGAGCCCGGCCAGCATCTGTGAGACCATCTGACCGTGAGCATTTGGACGGCCTTCTTCGCGCTGTCGTCGGACGTCCCACAGGAGTACTATCCGAGTGTTGGGATGAATATCTTCATGCAGGCGGGTGAAAGAATTGGGGCACTGTCGCATGACCAACTCTTCCAGCCATCACGTCTGCCACGGGTGTCCTACTGGTGTCTTACTGAGTTGACCAAGTGAAATCATAGGACCACCGGTAACCAAAGAACACGTGGTTGACCACACAAACCGGGAATGCCGCTGGTCGCCGCTGCGTCGTCTCTTACGTTGCGGAAGCTGCAGTCGCGCGTGTTCGGTTTATCCAGGGGGGTTCCGAACGCCCGGGAGGTCCCCCTGTTTGAATACAATCATATACCCCATGCCCCATGCAGCATGCACTCCTCTAGAATATGTTTAAGAGAGGCATCGTTGCTAGGGGAAGGTAACTCCACATCTTCGACACATCTGAGTTTGCTCTTTTTGAGGACCAATGAGTTTCCCTGGCATCTTTGCATCCTGCACCCCATGCCGAAACAATGTTCATATCCTTCAGATCCAGATCGCCCATACAAAAGATTGCCTGGCGACTCTGTACCCATATCTCCCCTTTCTGGGGTGCCCGCTGCTTCCTAAATCATCGCCATCGGTGAGGCAAACAAGCCACCGAGCTGCCTCGCTACCGGCTGCCACCGCGCTGCGAAGCTTGCACCAACAGGATCAGTCCAGGTTGTTAAACAAACTACCACCACAACACCACCAGCTGCAACTGCAGCTCTTGCTTAATTGTCGTAATTGTACTGTACGTACAGTAAATTTCATTATAGCTATAGATTAAATTGAATTTGCAAAAAACATAATAACATCTAATCTAACCCAGCAAGCAATCAGATATGGGTGCGCTCTTGCTTTAACAAATATAACGAGTGTACCACCAATTTTTTCTTTGACCATGCCATCCCCAAACTTTTAGTTAGTCTCAACTGGATAGAAAAGGAGTCGAACATGTGCAACCTTGTACAAGAATCAATTAAAAGAAAGCAACGTCCACACTCCTCCACCTTCCAAAATCTTCTGATGATTGCACGGGCAGCCCTTTCAAAAAAAAAAATCCTACTTCCAACTCCGAAATGAAAAAGGAGTCTGAAGAAGACCCCTTTTTTTTCCGAGAATCCACCACGGCGCAACGCGTGGCGCGGCTCCGCTCTCGCCGTCTTGTTGCCTCCTTTGGGACGAGGCCCGGCCTTGGCCGAAGCAGGCGGCGCAAATCCAGCAGCCGGTCGAGAGTCGAAACGAGCGGCGCGACCCTACGTCGACCCGCAGCAGCTGGTCAGCTCGGTGGGAAGAGTTTTTCCAGTTAACACGGGGGGGGTCCTGAAGCCTCCGAAATGGACACCCCAGTGGTATACCCGGGTGAGTGGCATCTGTCTGACTGGAGGGTTCTCATCCACCACCCGCCGCAACCGCCGGGACCCACCGACTCACTCGAGAAAGATCACCGACTCACTCGCCATGGGGTGTTCTCTAGATCGCTGCCTGCTTTCCTCGTCCTCCCTGCTTTCCTCGTCTTGGCTCGGTCGCGAACAGATCGACCGTTTAAACCGCTGTCGAGACTCAGGCGGTCGATCTGTCTATCCCATTCACTGTGGACGGCTGCTACGACACGCGACCCCCGCTTTTCGAAACATAGCGCGCAGCCAGCATATCGCGCAAGGCTGGGTGCAAATCCACTCAAAAACTCAATCAAAGACATAAAAACATCGACGAGGATCAATCACATGTTCGTTGCGTTGATGGAAGGGCTCAATCACCCTTGAACAATCTGACAGGTCAGCTTTGACCATCCTCCAAAGGATAGCATGGACACCGTGGGGATCCCAACTTGCCGAGCGTGCGCAAGCATTCTAAGACCTGGCCAATTCGTGGACATGCGTTGAAGGCTGTCGGAGGTACAACTTCAATTTGATGGATGCCCTGTTTGGAACCGCTCCATGGTCATAATGCTAGCTATAAATAATATGTGTGGGCCAAGCGGCTGCCTCTTTTTTGGCCAAAGTCCCATGGTAAGCAAGGTACAAAGCAAACAAACATATATTCAAATACCCCTCTCTCCCAAAGCTGTGCTTGCACACTACTCTTCTTGTCAGAAACAGGCCAGGGCCGGCAGCATCATAGAAGCAAGTGCCTCAAGTGGTTGTGGGACAAATGGTGAAATCATTTGACAAATGGAACTTCACAACTCCTTTTTTTTGTTCCTCTGCATTGTGATTGCATGTTGTCCCCCACGGCCACAGCCTATCTCGTCCATCTTTGTGAGTCAGCATGGAAGGAAAAAAAACGTTTCAACCAGGATCAGCACCTTTCCACCAAAAGCAATTGAAACCAAATTCCGGGAGGGTGACCCGGAAGCCCAGCCACGAAAACCAGCACCAATTTTGTGTCTTCAGTAGTCGTCACCGGACCTCCAATCATGTTTTTTATCGTTCCAACGCCTCCAGCGTTGGAGGGCGTCAAGCTGGCGATCCGAGTTTGAAGCATACGCCCACCAGACCTGGCGACCATGTCGAGCTGTGTGTCGAAGGAGGAAGCGACCGACGCGGAAGGAAGGGAACATATGGTAGCATGGCACAACGGGGCGGCAAACGATTCACGAAGATTCATGAAGTGACCTGGTTCACACAGCTCTACAACACGGGCCCATTCAAAATGACCATGACCAGCGCATCATGACCAGCTTCTTCACTGGGAATTTTTTGGGGTCCCGAAAATCCCTTTCGAGTGAGAAACCAAAGGATCAAGTTCAGTCACGAACTGAAGAATCAAGAGGAAGTGGAACTGGTGCTCCGGTTCAAGCCTTCACATGATGTTGCTTTGGTTCTGAAACTTGTTGCTCAACACGATTCGTGCGAAACACACTTGAAGAACATAGGTGATGGTATGAACCCTGGTTTCCAACGAGTCAGGGTAACAAGGACTCCTAGAAAAACATAGCAAACCTTATTTGGTGTTCATCATTCTTTTGGCAAAAGGAAAAGAACTCTATAAATTTCTGGACAAAAATAGGCAACATGTCGCGTCCTTCGTTGGTGAACCGCGAAAAGCCGCGAACACCACTGGCCGCCCATCTGAGAGGCACCCCTTCGGAGTGGGCGCCACGATCGTTTGAACGTTGGGGCCAAAGCATACCACACCGACCTCAGTGGCAGGGAAGCAGCTAATGTAGATTCTGCTTGTGTATTCAACAAGATTCTACATCGAACTGTTCATGACTTGGTTTTGCCGCTCCAATTTTTTTTCCCCAGGTTCTTTTCGACTTCCGCCCTGGGTCAACCTGCAGCCATCAAGGCCAAAAGCAGTTTCCTCACCTGCACCCCTCTGGAAACTTGGGGGGCTCCATCTGGGCCATTGTTTTTTGGCGACAGTTTTTTGCGGACACGCCGGCGAGGCCATGAGGATCCAAAGCCTTTCACTGCAAACGGTGACGCGCCAGCACAATTGTCGAAAGGCTGGACATCAGCAGCATCAGCAGCCTTCAAGCTTTTGCGCAGACCGCTAAGCCCCTGTCAACTGGCCTGTGTGAAGCCAGCCAGATAGTCATGCGCTTGCCTTTCCAAAGCTGCCTTATTGGCTTTGTCTCGGTTTTCCTCAGCAGTACGGAGCAAAAATGTCGAAGCCGTATCCCACCAGCAGGGCTGCCGAGGCCGAGGCATAGTCTTC